ATTTGAAACTTCAGGTATTTAAGGGTTAATATTAAATTGAATCCTAAAGAAATATCAAACCTATTTTCCAAATTATAAATGTATTTTCGTGGTAAACCGTCGCGATAAATCATTCACGGCAGGGGACTGAAAATATGGTGACTACGAGAATGTAATCTGCATATGGAGATTCCAATAACTATTTGAAAACATTATCGCTGTAGAGTTTTCGTAAGTTCATTTATAGTTTAAATTTTCTACGCAAGTATTAAAAATTTGTAAATATAATTCTCAGATTTAATTTAGAGTTAAAGAATCGAATTATTTTTTAAATTGGTGTCATTATCAAAGTAATTTTAATAAAAATAAACTAACAATTTCATTGGTTCATCCATATATTAGGTACTTACAAACTGTAGTTCCGCAAATTACTTTGCATGCCATCTGTCGTTGGATAGCGGCACTAAATACGCAAGCCCATTGTAATTTACTAACGGTTCGCGGGCAAAAACGAACCGCACGAGACTAAACAAAATACGATCCAATTAACCTCGTTATTTTTATTTTTACTGTACAGATTAACATTCGAGATTATCTCGTTCCTTTATTATCTTTGGCGATGCGATGCACCTGCCTTTAACCGATTTTAAATAACTGCCATTTACATCCATCATGGCAACACAATTTCAATGGATACATACATTCGAAGAATTGTTTAATGACTTTTTATGAGCTATACATGCCGTTAATAATATTTCAAAATTGAAAAATAAATTTCTTTTACATACATTACATTTATGGAAAACGTACCTACTGGCACAACTAAATATCGTAGCTCCGTTAAATGAGATATTCTTCTATTTTTTATTCAATATAAATATTATAATTTTAACTTTTTTATATTACAATATTAACATATTAAAGTAAATAAATATGAATTTACAAAGTATACAACGAATGTAATTCATCAAAAACATAAGTTATTGCTCTGTGACTGTCTCTGCTCAATCGTTTAATTAAAGTCAAATACATGATAGGAGATGCTGGCCTATTTTTGTGTACTCTATTAACAGTTTGAATAAATAAAAAATGGAATAGATTTTGCAACAAGAATAATATATTTTATGTATGTGGTAGTGTTAATTTTAATATATAAGATTAAGGCAGGTCAATCGAGTGAAGGCGATCGCGTGACAGCCGCGACCTACCTCAACAGCCCACGCATCCAAGCACCCGCCTCTACGCACCCACGCCGTACGCAGTACGCACTCGTAAACTTAACACGTGCTGCCTATTCATCTCTGTGGACGACATATTCTTGAATTAAAACATAATTTTCAAAAATCTAAAATATCAAATTAAATTAGCCAAAAAGTGGGTCTCTGTTTCTGTCAAACTACAAAATTCATATTCGAACTGACCGTGAAGGCTTCTATAAATAATTATTGTTGGTAATTCTTTCTTGTTATAAAGAATTTCATCATTATTTTTTATCAAATTATTATACCAGTTATATAATCATCATTAGCATACCAGCCATTAACTGTTGGACATAAGCTTCCCCTGTAAAGGAGGATTTTGCCAGTAGTTGCCACGCTTAGTAGGCGGGTTGACAACCGCAGGTAAGCTTTTAGTGATGTTTTATGAGGGAAGTTGCTGCCTATCCCTCGACCATTAGATTCTCTTAGTCGCCTCTTAAGACAGCCATAGCAAAGGAATAAGTGACCTATTCTATGCCAGAACCACACAATAAAAAAATTGTTATATATACAGGTCCAATGTGTTACAGCTTAAACACACAACACAACAAATAATTACATATTAATCTTGAACTGTGCGTTTTTGACATTTTACAGTATATTTGAATTACTTTTATTTTCGATTAATAATATACTTAACCTTGCTTTATGCCTACATATAATTCAAAATTATTTAATTATTACAAAGACATTATAGATATAAATAACATAGAAACTGCTTGTTTTCATACTAACGTAAATAGGTAACTGCGTAAGAAACAGTGTGACATATTTATAACGCAATAAATTCAGTCTCTGTTTGCCGTTTATTTTTGTTTTAGATCTTGGTTATAGATCATATCAGAATAAAATTATACATTAACTACCTCGTTCAATAAGAATAACAACACCAATTGAAAAAAATCAAGAATATTTATACAACTATGTTGTATTGAAATATTAATACAAAACAATGTAATATTATAATTATGGATAGTCCTATAACAAATCATAAATATCTAAACGATAAAACATAAAACTAAAGGATAAATAATTGCTTAAACTTAAACTATCTTTGAAAAGCATAACAGCAAGAATATATTACTTTATATCAGTTAAATGTTCTTTCTTTTAGTCTACATCTACGGAAAACAAAGTTATAAATCTTAAGCTCCATTCTATATTATGTAGATTTTATCTACTTTCAGTAGTAAATCTACTGTAATTTACTTATTTGACAATGAAAATAAAAGTATTTATTTATTCGTGTCACCTTCAAATAATGCTACCAGCAATAATACCTATCCACTCTTATTATATTACCAGTAATTGCTAAACTAAAAGCAATTCAAACTTAATTATATTATAAATTTATTTTAAATATTATAAAGACATTTCCACTTATTCATAAAAACTAAAACTTTCTACAAATCTAATTTTAACTATTACACTGTTTTGTCACTTTAATTAAAAATTTTGCAAAACAGAAAGCGTTAAAAAAACAGTTCAATATCTAAAGTAGGTTTATGAGAGAGGTATAATAGGTATAATAGAGGTATATAATTACTAATATCTCTTTGTAATATTAATTATAACCACCTATCTACAAGATTAATATATCTCATAGAGCAGTATATTATTTGTAATGATAAATTCAGTAGTTCATTATTTCGAAGCTGCTCTCTTAATAGTAAAACTCCTGTAGTTTACTTCGCTTTTCAAAGAATCTCTTTAGGTAGATCTTGATACGACGCGACTTTATTTCCTTAATCTGCCTGATGTAATTATATCTTGGTGTTACCCTACACTTTTTTCTTTTATCTTACCTTCATAATTCTTCATGAGATTATCATGTTATAAGTATTCCAATATTCTCCAGAGTTATTTAAATCTATTTTTTTAAATTGAATATCTGATTATTATACAAAATTTTGATTTACATCTTTAGGATTCTTACCATGATATCGAAACATATATAAAATACACACCACAATTAACAGCGTAGATATTGCTAAATGTTACAGGAACATGTTTATGACAATTATTACAAAAATATAAAATCCTTTTAGTAGCTACCTATCGAGAACGATTCTTTTCACTTATACTGTAAATTATGAAAAACAAATACCGAGGACTTTTTGTCTATTATAAAGTCGTTGTGTAAACGTTAAATATGATAGCTACGTACAGCTATATAGCGTGTTGTAAAATAACCGCCGCATGTTGTATTCAATGTCTTATTAAATCTCTCACCAACATTAGTCAACACGTCCCAAAATTTTATGACTTCTATTCTATTCTACTATTCGTCGTACATTAATCTGCTCCTCAGACTAACCCCACGGTCTAAATAAAACCAGTATAAACGAATTAAGATGCAAAGTCGGACTTATTTAAAAACTTATTTTTTATTAATTATTCTATCCAACTTGTACGCAGAGATAATGACAAAACCTGCGATTTGAATAAGAATAGATAATGTTGAAGTGAGACAACAATATTGTGCGAGTGAAACGGCAACAGAACAAATGTCGTGCTCGTTCTAACACAAAAACAGGAGTAACGAACTAAAACGCCAGGTGTGAGCCGTGCCATGTGCGTAGTAACAGAAACTATATTTATTTATTCCATGCTCAATATGTACACATTTCTCCAATTTAATTAGCGGAGCTAGGAAATGTAATGGTTAGATTTTAGAATTAGAGACAACAGATGGCTGTTGACATTAGACTATCTTGTATTTTACACTATTAAATCTTAAATAATTACTCTAATGTATAAATTAAGTCAAAAGTTGTTTGTGACGTATCCACTCGTCGATTTATTTTATACCTATATTATTTTAAAGAACAATATTGTATCATGATATTACTTGCCTAGATTTTAACAAGATGTTAATTGCTATTTTGATAAAAAGATATAATTTCATATTATGTCAAAATTGTAACTTCATTACAGGACATTATTAATATATTTTATTTTAATAATTCATTGCATACGAATATACAGAGCCAAAGATTACTTAAGTTTATATTATGCACTATAGTGTAAACCAACCCTAAAAATGTTCTTACCGGTATAACTAATGTAAATATCTATGTTTATGTAGCCACTTATTAAAAATATAAGTTGTTAAACTGATCAATTTTTACATAAAAAGTAAAAAATAAATTATGTATATTACTTTGGAGATCTGGGACATTTTTCTAACACACTCACAACATTGAAAGTCACGCCATCTACGCCATCTTCAATAATATGGCCATCTATCGTCGAATAGCGAAACTACATTCATCGCGCCTGAAAGTAAAAGCAATCTTGTACATATTATTTAATTTTTACTCGTATAGATGGCGCTTCACAGACATTTGTAATTAGTATTTTTATTTTACAATGATATATATTTCCCAAAGAAGGTTGACGTCAGGCAGGTGGCCGGTCGTAAAACTAAAAAACCAAATCTTTTTATAATATGGATAAAACCATATCACGCCGACCCCAAATGATTGGGATAAGGGTAGGAAGATGATGATTTTGCAATGATATTAATCCGTACTTGATATTTTTACAAGAAGTAAACAAATTATTATATTCGTTCCTCATTAAATCGTGACTAATTAGAATTTTGTATAATATCACTAAAACACTAATCTGTCGCCATCTAACCTTGATTCCATTGCATGTTTGTCTATTCATTTCTCCCTTTTTGTGTTAACGTTCTCTTTATTTTACTTACTTTATTTTGCTTTATGTTAAGTCTGTGGTGTGTCTGTGTTGTTATAGCTTATTTTGGGGCCGGACGGGACTCTGCAGACAGTGAAGAGCGAGTCTCGGCGAGGACGCGGCAGAGGGCGTTCGACTACAACACCCGTGAGTACATCATTACCTTCTCATCTTTCTTTCTTGTTGTCTTCCATTTCTTTCATTATCATACCAAATGTTTGTGCTGACTAATGTTATTAACTACTAAAACTGTTTCTTGACAAATTAATTTATAATAGCTAGAACGGTAGATACCTATTAATTATGAAACAAAACATTTTTAAACAACATTTATATAAAATATAACACATGTACAAAATAATAAAACAAAAGAGGCATACTTACCTTAATTTTATTTATCAAATGGTTAGCAACATGGAACAAAGAAATAAACAACATAAGCAGTAAGTAAGTGTATATTAAGTACTTAGTATCTACTTATTTTCCTAAGTTTAGAACTGAAAATCTCCCATAATTCTAATTACAAAGTTGTTAATAGCCGACATTTTAACAATTATTTAATTGCTACGAATTTAAATATTATGAATCGAAATTTCTAACAAAAAACTACATTACTTTGAACCTATATACAAAAATTTATATACAAAGTACGTGCATTTATAATATGGTAAGTAGATAAATTCAAGTAATTGAGAATACAAAGTTGTTGGATTACTTTATAAAATAGATACCATAAAAAATATCTTAAAAGAATAGCAGTACTAAGAGGAGAACCGAGAAATAATTAGGTATATACGTCAAATAAACAATAATCTAGATGTGACATAGCACCTAAAGGACGTGAAGAAATTTTTGCCAAAACCGTTTAAAGATAAATTAATCGTTTTAATAAGTGCAAACTATTAAATTATAAAACATAACATTTGTTTTATCCATCGTCTACAGTCTACACTATTAGTTGCATATTAAATTCCAAAGAAGAAGAAAATTTACGATGGACAGTATCTAGTAAGAGCCAATAGTTGCGTGTTTAATTCCAAATATAAAGAAAATGTGTCATAGCCACCTTCTGCCTCGGGCTAATCACCATATGAGCCTTTAACTGTCCACCGCTCAACATAAGCCTCCCTTGGGGGTTTTACCAGTATTTGCCACGCTTGGCAAGCGGATCGGCAACCGCAGTCAGGCTTTAGAGGTGTTCTAAGAGGGACGTTGTTTCCCATTCCTCGCCTTTCCTTAATCGCTTCCTACGACACCCACGGGAAAGGAAGAGATGACCTATTCTATGCCAGAACTACATAACCTCGGGCTAATAGTTGCGTGAATTTGCGTGCCTATAATCTATCTACTATGAACAAAAACAGGTCACTCTCGCTTTCGAAACCAGCTCCCGAATGTAGGAATAAAGTAACGTCGCGTCCGGTTCACGGCCACTACAGTAAATACAAACCCCATTCAGTGAATCAAAATGCGACTGTATTCGATTACTTGTCATCCATTACGCGCCGTTTTTTGTTCACTAAATAGTTTGTCTGTGACATTCTTTTGCATTTCAATGCAGTACAGTATATAAACTTAGATTATATAGATAGAGTGTCTCCATAAAAATGCTTCGAGAAAAACGGCTCAACTTTTTCATACAATTTTGCGTGATGAATATAGTTATGAATGATTCCTTTATAACTTCTATATTTATTCTATCTTATAAATTCTGCATCTTTTCATTTTATTTATTAAATAAAATGTCAAGATACATTTTATGCGTAAGCATATAGATAACTGATAAAAAAAAAACGAGTCAGCTAATTTGACAATTAGCTGACAAAAAGTTGACCCGTTTTTGTGGCTCGATGCTCTGTCTATATAATCTAAGATATACAGTTTTCGTGGAAAAAGTGTGTACAATAGCAGACTTAAAACTTTCTTTAAGACTTTCTCGTAAAAGTGATTTATTCCTCTATTTGTGAAAAGAGAAGATATTTTCTTTTTACAAATATAGATCTATGCAAATTGATGAGTCTGTTACTATGTACCTTGTCAGGGTGATTAATGTAGGTTTTTTATTTCTCTTATTTTGCACTGGTGTATTTTTTTATCCAAACAGCTTAATACTATTTTAAATAGAACAACTTTTTACTATTAAAATTTAAAAAAAAAAAATACATATATTTTTTTAATACGTAATTCATCATTCAGCCAGCAATGGAAATTTCTAGAACGAATCACGTATACCCACGGAGGCGGGTGGCGCAGATTTTTCCGCGTATGCCGCCGGCGTACCACCTGTAGTTCATTCAGTGTTCGAGTGCGTTCGAAATTGTGCATTGTAATTACTGAATGGATACGGAATGCAGTTGGCAACGGACAAAATCAAAAGTGTGCTATTTAACGGATTTACATAGCTGCACTGCTAACGAGATAGCTAGTAAAATAAACTATTTTATGAGGTACAATAACGAATATAAGAAAGGTTCTTATGTGGCGACCCCGTACAAGCAAACGCACGACCCTCACTAGGTGAAGTGACGACCTCAAATGCATTTCAGGGAGTAAGTGGATGCAGGTGGCTCAGGACCATTCCTTATGGCCAGTCTATGAGGAAGGCCTATGTCCAGCAGTGAACAGATAATGGGCGAAATGATGAATGATGATGATGATTAGGTACAATATATTTACATAAATTGAAACAAGAGACTATTATAAATAATTAATTAGGTAACTTGCGATTTTGGGTATGCGTATTGATCAGGTATATATATATTAAAAAGTAACTAACTCGACAGATGGCGTTCTATCAAAAGCCTAATAGCTTTTGATAGACCGCCATCTGTCGTTTACGATCCAATGATTGTAGAAGTCCATGTCATCTACATAAAATTAAACGTGCTAAAACAGATAATTTCTGAAATATATCCTAAATATATTTTGCCTCGTATTAATTCATTTTAAAATCGTATTAAAAACTAACTACTCGTTTTCGTGGTATAATATTTTATTTCTTCCCAATACCAGTAGTGCATCTAATATATCCAATTTAAGTTTAGAAGTTTAAAAGAGATTTATTTTTGAAGGTTACATAAGTTAATGTATTGTGAAGAACTGGTTTCTGGAGAAAGATAAACCTGTGTTACAGATCACCAGGTCCTCACCCCACGGTGTTGGCACAAATTACAATTTACACCATTTTAAAGACAAAAGTATAAATAGGTTCCAGCACAGAAAAAATATATAGAACAATCCATAATCTTTATAATCGTAAACTTTATAATTTCCTTGTTAATATAATTTCATTGTTAATGAACTTTATTTAAATTATCAACCGACTTAAAAAAAAAGAATCTCAATTCGGTTGTATTTTATTTTTCATAACTTAACTTCGTAACTCCGTCAATTATAAACCGATTTGGAAAATACATTTTTATCCAAAAATTTAAGTATGTTCACTTACAAATTAATCCTATATAAATTTTATAAAACTCGATTCACTAATTTAATTTTTAAATCAAAATATCTGGTATTGCCATAATTAAAATTGTTTTTTTTTTTATAAAACATAATCTTAAATTACTCATTATTTTATGACAAGTTTACTTTATATAATCCAATCGGTAAATAAAATAAAAACAAAGGTAGTCTTTGATTTTAAAAGGAATGCATTTTAAAAAAGCACCCATCCATTATCATGATTAGTAAAAGTACTTTCTGGGATCGAGCAAGCTGCTTTTATTTTTAAATCTTCTCCATTGGAGATAAAACTGCACTACCTACTATTTAATCTTATTCCCAGTGTAAATAGCTTTTGTGTATTATATTCAAGGAAACAACGACATCGAACTTAATACGATAAATTTAATCAAACTTGTAAACGAGACGATGAAATTTTGAGCTAGTTTTATCTCGTAGTTATCCCGTGGTCGTATGGTCATGTTGAATAATCTAATTCGACTTTTTTTAATGGATGACAATGGAATCGTAACCCCACCTGCGCTAATGGTATACCCTGGCGTGACACCAGTAAGAAATGACAGGTGAGAATGAAAAGGTAGGTCAGTTAGCCCACCTGGAATTCAGCACGATGGTTTCGAAGGGAGACCACGCGGAAATCGACTTGATATACATTATATTGCCAGCAATAGGACTGGTAGTCCGCATGAAATATTATAAATAATTATTGAATCCTAATAAAAATTTTAATTACGATTCTCACCTTATTACCTTAATCTAAAGTAATAATTTTTAATCTGGTAACCCTGTCACGCACACATGTATAAAAATGTTGACCCGCCTCTTTCGAAGCATTTGTATAGAGATACTCTACGTATAATTTATTTGGTAGGTATAAACGCACTTATAAGTATTATAGTAACATTAATAAAATTGATTGATAATCAATAATGTCCCTATATAAAAATAATAACACTTCTAGACCTATATTAATATTACTTACTTTGATTAGGTTGAAATGTATCAAGGGGATCGTTCCATAAATTGTAGTAAATGTACTTTGAACAATTTATAAATAATATAATAATGCATAAAATATCATGACATCAGCGTCATCATACCCACGGCTACTTTCCACGATCGTACGGCTCGCCATCGACAGGGAGTTGACCCTCGTACCCTACAGCCTAGATGGTCGCGTGCAACGCGGTTTCAGAGATGTTTTCTCTCACGAACAGTCAGGTTATAGAATAAGCTCCCTGCCGAGGTTTCCCCAAGAGACTATAGCATGGGATTCTTCAAAAGGGGAGTAAAGAGGTGTCTTCAAGGTCGGCAACGCTCGCGTAATGCACCTGGTATTGCAGGCATTCAAAAGCTACGGTAACCGCTTACCATCCGGTGAGCCGTATGCTTGTTTGCCACCTTCAGTGGTATAAAAAAAACATAATCATTATCATCTTCTGTACTGAAATAGCCATCCGAAGCACTGAGCACCACCTTCGCGCTCTATCTATCGAACCCTATATATGTCCATGCTCCAACTAGCCGCAGATACTTTCACATTGCCCTTGCCAATACACGGATATCGCTACCATCGGAGGCAAGCAAACGACCTGCCTTATGAGCGCATATTTATCACAAACTTATAGTTATGGGTCCATTTACACTTGTGGTATTATTATTTAAGTTATTAATTATCCGCC